CAATAGGCGTAGTAGACTGTAGTGAGTAACCTTCTGGAGCAAAGGACGACTGCCCCGAGCATGACCTTCTTTTCATCCTGTTCAAGGTCAAATATTACTCAGTTTGCGTTGAAGAATAACAATTACATTCGTGAATGGCCGAACTGAGAAAACCCTCATGATTTCTCTTGGATTTCGTATCCCAAGTTCTTCTACTTGGCTGGATAAATCGCCTCTTGACTTCATCATACTGGACTGGAACTTGTAGATAATAGCGAGCAATGAATTGGTGAGCGAAGTATATTTCGAAAGTAATAACCACTCGATTACTGAATAGTAGTGAATACGTAGAATACTCCAGTATTATAATATGAACACTGAAGCTAATGTGACATTACAGTAGTACAATAGGAAGTACGTCACCACTGTTGTAAATGCACGCGCTGATCCTATCCAACCTGACGGCCAATGCAAGAGGTTGGAATTGGCTATTGATTTCCTAACACACTCATACAGCACCAAAAGCTATCTGTCATTGCTCATTTTCAACTCAACATAACACAGTTGCAAATCACCAGGTGCACATCTTGGCACATAATGTGTGCTGTCGCAGTCCACCGCAGAACATAGTAATCCACAGATAACTACCGATATAAGATGATGTCACATACATACATGCATGCATGCATGCGCGCGCACCCACACGCGTGCGCACACACACACACACACACATGAAGCAGCTGAAGAATCCGACTATGCAGTCAGCCAGGCACGCGCACACACACGAACCAGCTGCCGAATCCAACTATACAGTCTCCCAGGCATGCACGCTCGCACACACACACACATGAACCAGCTGCCGAATCCACACAAACACGCGCGCGCGCGTGCGCACACACACACACATGAACCAGCTGCCGAATCCGACTATGCAGTCGCCCAGGCACGCGCGCACAAACACGCTTATGCGCACACGTGTGTGCGCGCACACACACATGAACCAGCTGTCGAATCCGACTATGTCAGTCTGCCATGACTGCGAAACCAGCGAAGACATACGGTTCATTGGCTGCTGCCAGACTGGTCTGCTACAGGTTTGCGACGCTCTTAAGTACACTTGTGGCATGGCAGGCCGCTCTTCGAAAAGGAAATGTTACAAATACTACACTGAATCCGATCACGGGAGGCCGGCTGTGGTGGTGAAGCAATTCTGAATGCTGTGCGCCACTCTCCTCGCTGCTATGCAGTGTCGAACCAATGTCCTTCAAGATGTAAGTGATGGATGTCTCTTCGGACAACATCACACCAATGCTGTCGGGTTTCACACACACACACACACACACACACACACACACACACACACACACACACACACACACACACACACACACACATGGCGCACACCTTGTCGACAATTGCGGAATCTAAAACCCACCAACGACCTGAAACACGGATCGCACTGGCCGAAGTGGCTGTGGCAACACCGTGCCCCAACACCAGTAGCAGCCTGGGGTGGTGTCACCAACAAAGGAAAACGCCTAGCACGCACATGCACGCTCGCACACACATGCACACTCGCACACACACATGCACGCGCACGCACACACACATGCACACGCGCACATGCACACGCACACACACAAAAACGCGCACACATGCACGCTCGCACACACACAAACACACGCACACCCAGAAATGTGCACACAAACACGTGCACACACACACACACACATACACAGCTAATGGTATACAGTAGTATGTTGCCCGCAAAGAAGCCAGGTGCTCTGGCTTGGACCTCCAGCAGCGCTGGTTTCGCCCTCGCTACTTGTCGTCTTGCCCTCTCCAGTGCTGCCTGCAACAAAACACTCCCTTCCGGAAACTCTGGGTGGACAAGTTCTCCGTGTTGTGTTTACACCGTGCTCTGCTTTCATAATTACCGGTATGGCATTCGTTGTTCGTATCAACCACTAAGCTCCTGGTAGGTGGCCCCTTACTGGCCTTAGAATGTGGCTCTGGGTTCACTACTACATGCACATCACTGTCAGCAAGTATAGACAAAGCAAAATCAGAGGCACTGGTCTTCTCCAGGTTTGCAATTGCTATCACATGGGTGCAATTGGTGTAGCACTTTCCATGAAACCAGCCACACCATTTTTTTCCTCCCTGAGCTCTTGTGCTGGCAGAGAAAAGCCTAGATATGGTCGTCCTTCTCTCGAGCAGCGCTGACGATGCGACACCAACTTGTAGTCTCGATATTACTCAGTGCAGGCTTCTCGTTTTTACTAAATTGGGCGCTGTGACACGCCGACACAAAATTCCAGCAATATTACTCCGCTGGGCTGTCATTTGCCACTTCGTTGCCGTCAGCTGCCTCATCCAGCACCTCGCTGCCACTAGAAACGTCTTACTCTTCTTCCATTGTTTTCAAAACAACATCAATGTACACGAAAGGAATAAACTTCAATAAAGTGATCACAATATCCCAAGTCGATATTGTCGTCAACGTCGTCATCTTCTAAAAAATAAATTATTTTTCCTCACTCCACGCGAACTCGTGTTTTGCGCTTGTTCATACGACGCACACCTCACCACTCGCGTAAAAATATTTGTTCTCACGGTGGAATTTGGTCGAGAAAAGAAGCCCTCGCGAAGGTCTCTGGATCGGTTCTGGAACGTCCAACAAGCGAAAACGTATCCTTTGTGATGTCCTTGACCAACACTGTAAGCGGCGATTTGTCCATCCGAGAGTGCAACGGCACTTGTGATTTTGAGTTTTGGCTCAAGGACTATTCCAGACCAACGGGCGTTCAAGGCGAGTAGATCTACTAACAATCGCACTTGACAAAGGTGACTCTGAAATCTCGTGAGCCGTGGGCCACGCGACTTGGCATTCTTGCGTCACAAGGCACGTGATTTCACTGTGCATCTTGCAATAAAATTCAAAAACTACGCTCAGGCCTTCAGTCACTTTTGCATCAACAGTCGCGCAAAAAATTATTGGTGGCGCAAGGAGAAGCTTGTCGTTTGGAGTGACAAGTGATCACCGCTGCTTTTCCTTGTCAGAGTCAACACTACACTTTGTGCTGCGGCCTTGGGAGTAGTGTTGGAGTAGAAATTGCTGAGGAGACGACGTGGAGGGGCGAGCTTTCCTGCGCAGGTATGATTTTGGCCGTATTTCAGCATGGTCGAGTGGAAAAATTCAAAAAAGTTTATTTCAAGAAAACCCCAAAAGGAAGATGGGGGACATGTCCTCACCGCTAGAAGAGGTGTTCTACTATTTGCCGGTGTATAGGTCTGGCGAATTGAGGACGTACCTGGCTGTTTTGCCAGCGCTTGTAAATTGGCTATTTTCAAGACAATCATTTGTGGCGTCAGGGGGTGATGGACCTCGTCTTCTGGGATGCTGGCGTGGCTAAGCGGTACTGCTGCAACAACTCTTCTAAGGTGAGGCAATGTTGGCTTGATGGAGTTTTGTTCATAGCTTGTTCGTATACGCTGGGGCGTGACTCGTTTCTAGACCCATAAATAATGTGATATTTCGGCCATTTTTGAGCGGTATGCAAGTTTCAAGGTTCCCTTCACAAACTTTTCAAGGGCTTTGCACAATCGATCCACACCCCAAAGGGAACCTACCTGCAAATTTTGAGCGAAATCGGAGAGATCCACTTGCACACATACTTTGGTATTCTCAGACATGCTCTCTTAAGAGAGCATGTCTGCGAAAAGCAGAACACATGTGCAAGTAGATCTCTCAGATTTCGCTCAAATTATGCAGGTAGGCTTCCTTTGGGATGTAGATGGACATTTCAAAGCCCGCGCAAAATCTTTTGAAGCGAACCATTGTATTGGCATGCCCCTCCATATTGGCCCACTATGGGCACGATGTATGGGTTTACAAACTTGCCACGGCACAGCGTAGAAGAACAAGCTCCATCAAGCCAACATTACCTCATCTTAGAAGAGTTCTTGGGGCAGCACTACTTAGCCACGCTAGCATCCCAGAAGACGAGGGCAATAATCCCTTGACGCCACAAATGATCGTCTTGAAAATAGCCAAATTACAAGCGCTGATAAAACAGCGAGCTACGTCCTCAATCAGCAAACACTATACACCGAGAGATAGAAAAAACACCTCTTCTAGCACTGAGGAAATGTCCCCCATCATACTTTTGGGGTTGTGGTTTGGAGTGACAAGTGATCACCGCTACCATTTTTATCACACTAATCAATCGTCTTGGCGTCACGACATCGTGAAATATAAAAATAATAAAAATTAAAATAAAAGGTTTGTGTGGTTCTCTGTTGTTTACCTACAATCATTATTGAATATCCGTATCATGTCGCCACAATTGCCAGCTGGATGCTAGTCGGATGGGTGCCAATCTCCAGCCTTCGACCGAGTGCTGCTGGATAATGCATGCATACCTGGAAATGATCCTGATAACTCAAAGCCGAAACAATCTCCATTTTGAATGGTGGGCAAAGAAGACTCGCACTTCTCACATACAGCTCTGGGCCAGTGATATTTCGTAGGAGTTGATGCAAGACACATGCTCCCTAGGAAAGTGGTCCTCACATTTTCCTGAGTACAAAATTCCGATACTATACATAGGAATTTGGTAACACTAGCTGGGTCAGATAAGGGCTGAGGAAACCAGAGAGAAGTGCCCCGAACACGTTCTCAATATTCATACCATCCACGTCACTAGTACCACTACTGTTATGCACATGTTTATAAAACAATCCATAACCACAGTGAACGGATATACTGATTATGCATACGAAATTTAGAGAGAAGTGCTACCAAAAAGAAACATAGTGTGAATAACATTCTAGCGACTTTTGAATCATAAAAATAAGCAAAAAAAAATACACCTGCTGCAAGTTTATAACGAACGAGCTGCAATTTTCTGCTATGCAATGGATTTACTGACAGGGATTAAATGCACAGGTGGGATATATAATGTCAATGGTAATTCTTCCGGTGATAAAGATATTGAGATTGGGTACGAATCACCGTCAACATACATGTATAGCAAATTACTTCAAAAACCTCGCTCCGAACGGTTTAGCACTGAACTTACTTGTGAAAGTTACAAATGATATCCATACTGATGCGTGACATCAGGACACAAGAGCTGCAATGAACTATTTGAGAGTATATCAGTGATAAATGCATGCGCTACTGGAGTTAGAGGCAGAGAGATATGAAGAAAAAACTCAGAAAGACTGCAACATATCGCGTGCTTGCCATGAAAAAGTATACCATGATACAGTTTTGTGCAAAGAGAAAAAAGGCCCTATAAGTTACTAGTTATAATTAACTGTCCGCCAAGGTAACGAGTTAATAATTATAACATCAGATAGTGAGACAGCACGGCACAAGACTGACAAGTATATTGAGACATTTAACGACATGACACTGATCTGACACTTTACCTGGCTTTATATTATCTCTGTACCTTTGTGGACTGTTAGTCATAGCTAGTAACTTAAAGGTCCTTTTTCGCTTTACATATTACTATTGGCTCAACAACAGAGTTAAATGCTACTGTATCATTTGCATTTCGTTGAGGATATGTATCAGTCGGTCAAAATTGTGAAAAACATTTGGCGTTATTGGATGCTGACATAAGTATGCTGTTCTTCTGTGGCCGGTCCCCCTTCCTCTGCACGCCCAGCTCCGCATCCGGCACGAAGAACATCATTCTCGCGCAAATCCACACAGCCATATGCATCATTCCTAGCCAGGATCCAGCTCTCGTACGCCTCATTGGTTTCCATACTAGTGCGCGTGTTCTGAACCAAATCAAGTTCATCATCATGGGAAACAGATTGAGTTCTTACGTCCAGTTGGCAGGTGGTCAGCACTGAAAGAGGAAAACATAATATTGTCAGAACGATGGATACGTGGATGAGATACCAACTATGAACTTTGTGTCACCTTTCGGTAATGCAAATAGAGTTGCATGTTTTCACTCCCGTTGTACGGTTAACCTCAACTTTCTGAAAATCATGCACACTTCCGAATGTATAAGTGTGTAAGATGAAGGGCAGGTCTATAGTGCTAAATATGGACTTCTGGGGGTGTGATTGAGTTCTACAAGCACACATGATGCCCAGTTGCCAGCGGTAAACAATAGATCAGCACACGAAGCACAGAAGCCATATAATGTTTTCGACTAGGCCTTTCATTCCATTACTCTTCAGGTCGAATACAATGATGATTGACAAGGTAGTAAGCAAGTCCTTATAACCGGCACTTTTGGCGGGCAGAGCATTGACAAAAATGGCACCTGAAAAATAGCGCTAGTGGCACCCACTCTCACTTTACCATTCAAGCGAGTGCGCGCTACAAATCCCACCTTGCTGTGCTGGAGGCAATGTACATTGCCAAGCTGAAGCCTGAACTGTGCGTGCAAAAGAAGTATGTGCGAAAGTTGTCACTGTTTTGACATTGTAGTACCGTTGTCCCCACTGTTGTCTGATACTGGTAATATTCATTGTCTCACTGTGTACTTGGCGCCACTAGCGCTGTCTTTAAAGTGCTATTTGGTCTATGCTCTGACCGCTAAATATGCTGTTGGCGCCACTAGCGCTATTTTTCAAGTGCTATTACAAATAATAATATGGCTTCTGTTCTTCGTGTGCGTATTTGCTTTCCTCCAACCAAAAATCTATTTAAGCAATATATCGCGAGACATTATTTTCATGATCGATGATGTATATAAAGTTTATGATGGTATCTGCCCATGATGCACAATGCACTGAGGCCTGTAGGAATGCATGTATTATTTTTCCACACAGGAATTTCGAGTTAGAGAGGCCAGACTGAAGCGGTAACGTTATCATTTTTCGATGGTAAAGTATTTCTAAGAAACGTGTCCAGAACATCACTCTTGGAATTGTAAGATGAATGCCGTAGTACCATTTGGTAAAGTTTTGAAACCTCTGAATGTATCAATTTCGCTTTTTTCCAGAGAAAAGAAGGAAAAGGAACCCTATTACTATTCAGAAGCTTCAAATTTGGACTTTACGTACCAGGATCAGGTTTCGCGGATGTCAACTTTAATTTCCATAGCAGGAAAACCGTCGCAGCCAGCACCAGCAGTCCTGCGCCAGACCCTCCCGCAATTATCGCTGCAGATTTGGAGCCGCTTGCGCTAGCTTGGTAGCCACTGGTTGCGTCGACTTGATCAGTTGTTGGTGCTATGAAAAAAGGGAAAACATCACCAAGAACAGATTCTGGACAACATATAATCAAATAAGTATTTTTGGTGCGAGGAACCATATCGTTTTCTGGTGAAATGTAGATGTAGGTGACCAACATTTTCTTTACATACAGTGACTATTCTAGTACCTTTTTAGTTGCCAGATTCCCCTAACGGAAATACCGAAAATACAGTTCCACCGAACATAACGTGTTATAGAGTAACCATAAAATCCAATCTGTTACAGGTAGAATCATAAAGAGAAGTTAACTCAATTGATATATGAGAACAGCAAGACGTATGAAGGAGGAGAATCGGTAACGTTCTTGGGTTTTGAACGATTCGAACGAAACGTTCCACCATCTATTGAGGGGTTAAATTCATGCCAACTCGAGGCTACACATGCGCAACAAATGTGCCAACCTTGATGCAACGTGGTGATGCGAGTGGAGGTCGATTGAGCACTGTCTCCATAGGCATTGCTTACATAGGTGGTGACATTATAGGTCATGCCTGGAGCCAGGCCAATCAAGGTAACATTTTCAGACGCGTTGCACACTGGTATCGATGTCATATTCCCAGACATATCATTTGCAGGCCTTCCGTACACACAATACTGGAGTATGGGAAGGTTTTTGCCTTCTGTTCGGCCTATAAAGACAGTGATGGTAGTACTTGAGAGGACGTAATTGTCAGGCGATGTTGGCGCTAATAAAAACATATTCAGATCACGTATGTATCAGTAAATTGTTCATACGTTACATAGTATTTGCGGTCTGCATTAAAAAGGCCTGTTAATATTCCAATGCATATTTGTGGAGAAGGAAATCTCCCATGGGATAATTGAGAAGAAATGTTTTTTTCATTTCTTAACTTCTTCCCTTTGATCACTGCACCATCAACCAAATGAATTGGGCACACGGGTAACTAATCCCTAACCTGATTCCGCAATGCTTGACCTGAGAATCATGCAATTGACATAGGAACGTCATTTGGGGAAAGAGACCATGCATAAAGGAATGTGCGAGGTACAACACGAATCTCACAAAATTCTTCACCCCTGTTCGTGGTCGGTGTTTGATGTAATGATATCTCTTACCTTTAGGCACTGTTCCAATGCTGACTACAGGGGACATGCTACTATTGTGTCCGATCGTAGTTTTGAAGAATGCTCTGACCCTGTACAAAGTATTGGTTTCCAGGCCCGACAACACGATTGACTCGTTATTGTTACAAACTACAGTTGGTTTAGCCACAGTGTCATTTTTGTCGTACACAAAGCAGAATCCTGGTACCCAATCTCGTAGTATCTGTGGCTGCAATATGCGTGCATATATTCCAGTGTCCGTTGAGTTGACAGCTATGCCTGAGGGCGCTATAAAGCAGAGAACACAGTGAAGCACGCACAGAATACAGTGAAGCACGCACAGAATGCCATTGAACAATACATCTACATGTACATACATGTTTTTTTCCCTTTGCGAATGATACCTTTATAACAGCGTGTATCTGGCCGTGCTGCGGAGACCTCAGGCGGCAGATCCATCAACGCCCCATCATTGATTTCTTGATTTTAATTTCACGGATCCTCCAGAGGCAGACAGATGCCTATCGAAGGGAGTCTCCTAACTAAATATGGAAAATGAGAAAGTATGTTCATAAGGGAGAAGAGGTAGAAGACTAGAATATAGAGTACAAAAGAGCACACCACCGGGACTCGAACCAGGGGCCTTGTTATTCGCGAGCAATGCTCTAACCAACTGAGCTACAGTATGACTCTTATCCACAGTGATGGTAAATCTATCCGTCTTCGATCAATTCGTATCTGGCTTGCATCATGCTGGCAACTCGGACCTATCAAGAGGGCCCTGGGCCAATGGCTTGATATCATGGGGAGCGCATCAAACTATGTCCACTGCGAGCAAATACAAATTGCAATTTCAAATTTGGACTTCACGGAGAATTTCAAAGTTGTTAGCAAATTAGAGGCCACATGCCACGTACTGCTCTTTTCTCTCCGAAACTCAACACTTGCAAGTCAGATATGAAAGAAAAAAATCATCAGTGAAAAATTCTCCGTGAAGTCCACATTTGAAATTGCAATTTGTATTTGCTCGCAGTGGACATAGTTTGATGCGCTCCCCATGATATCAAGCGAATGGCGGAGGGCCCTCTTGATTGGTGTCAGTTTCCAGCATAATGCAAACCAGATATGAATTGATCGAAGAAGGTTAGATTTACCATCACTATGGATAAGAGGCATTCTGTAGCTCAGTTGGTTAGGCCATTGCTCGCGAATAGCAAGGCCCCTCCCTGCTTGGAGTCCCGGTGGTGTGACTGATGATTTTTTCTTTCTTTCATATCTTGCTTGCAAGTGTTGAGCTTCGGAGAGAAAAAGCAGTGCGTGGCACGTGGTCTCTAATTTCCTAAAAACTTTGAAATTCTCCGTGAAGTCCAAATTTGAAATTGCAATTTGTATTTTCCCGCAGTGGACATAGTTTGATGCGCTCCCCAGGATATCAAGCGAATGTCCCAGGGCCCTCTTGATTGGTGGGAGTTGCCAGCATAATGCAAGCCAGATATGAATTGATCGCAGAAGGATAGATTTACCATCACTGTGGATAAGAGTCATACTGGAGCTCGGTTGGCTAGAGCATTGCTTGCGAATAGCAAGGCCCCTGGTTCAAGTCCCGGTGGTGTGACTGATGATTTTTTCTTTCTTTCATACCTGGCTTGCAAGTGTTGAGTTTCGGCGAGAAAAATACAGTACGTGGCATGTGGCCTCTATTTTCCTAAAAACTTTGAAATTCTCCGGTAAGTACAAATTTTATAAAAGCTATTAAGAGAACAAATTCTGCTGTCATCGCCACACTACAACAAAGTCATGAAGGTTTACCAAAATCGATTTTCTTGTCACAATCATCAATAATTTATATACATTCAATAATGTGTTACAAGAACAAAACAAAGTGCTAAAAATAGAATGAGGGAAGGTGAGACAATAGAAGTAAAGTGAGAGCAAAGTGCAACAGGGGTGTGGAACTAATTGCAACGCCAGAACTGTGTAGTGAGACAAACAATCATGCTGTGCACCTACGAAAACAATCCAAGAAAGAGCCGCCCCATACTTGAATGCGTCGTAAACGACGCATTCAAATGCAAAACTTCAAAAGATCGTAACTCAGTCCAATCTCGCTCAAATCCATCGATCGAAATATCCAGGGCGAAGAGAAAACTCTCACCTGTCGGGAGAACCAATCCGCGAAGCGCTGCGAACAACGGGTCCTGAGATAAATCACACGTAAGTTGAGCCGCGATTGCGGCAATTTCAAAAGCGCGCAGTGCAACTTTAGTATTGAGAATTTTGAGACTTTTCGTCACGCTGGTTTACTCGAATTTGCACGGGTTTCACTGTTGATATTGTCAAGAGTACACAGCAAAAAAATTGGAACTCCACGATCGAGTAAAATGAAATATCTGGAGCGGGACGCAATTGGACGCATTTGGGGCATTTTTCGTACTGTCGCTGCGATCTTGCGCTGGATAGACGGTGTGCTGGCTATCATGATTGACCTCGTGCTCTTCCTTTCGCGGAGACCGTTCCGGGAAGTCCTAGATTGTGAGGATTGAGTGAGTAGAACTGAAGCTATGATCCGAGGAACACGAAAAAATGCAGAATTTTGAAAATTTCCTGTGGCTCTTAAAGGGTTAACGCAACTACATATTTCTTCTGATTTTTATTTCCATTGCTATCAGGTTCGACCTCATTTCCTCTGTGCTGCGCTGACGAGTCCACAAAGGACGAAACAGTTCTGTCCGCAGATTGAGTATTCCGCTCCTGCTCTTGTAGCAGTTGAGCACTCTTGCGTAGGGTAGTGCCTTTGCTGTTTGCGTTATGCAGAGCTCACTGACTTGTCAGTTTGAGCACTCTGGCAAGGTACGTTTGGACCTGATTGGAAATTTTTATTTCCATTGCTATCAGGTTCGGCCTCATTTCCTCTGTGCTGCGCTGACGAGTCCACAAAGGACGAAACAGTTCTGTCCGCAGATTGAGTATTTCGCTCCTGCTCTTGTAGCAGTTGAGCACTCTTGCGTGGGGTAGTGCCTTTGCGGTTTGCGTTATGCAGAGCTCACTGACTTGTCAGTTTGAGCACTCTGGCAAGGTACGTTCGGACCTGATTGGAAATTTTTATTTCCATTGCTATCAGGTTCGGCCTCATTTCCTCTGTGCTGCGCTGACGAGTCCACAAAGGACGAAACAGTTCTGCCCGCAGATTGAGTATTTCGCTCCTGCTCTTGTAGCAGTTGAGCACTCTTGCGTGGGGTAGTGCCTTTGCTGTTTGCGTTATGCAGAGCTCACTGACTAGTCAGTTTGAGCACTCTGGCAAGGTACGTTCGGACCTGATTGGAAATTTTTATTTCCATTGCTATCAGGTTCGGCCTCATTTCCTCTGTGCTGCGCTGACGAGTCCACAAAGGACGAAACAGTTCTGTCCGCAGATTGAGTATTTCGCTCCTGCTCTTGTAGCAGTTGAGCACTCTTGCGTGGGGTAGTGCCTTTGCTGTTTGCGTTATGCAGAGCTCACTGACTTGTCAGTTTGAGCACTCTGACAAGGTACCTTCGGACCTGATTGGAAATTTTTATTTCCATTGCTATCAGGTTCGGCCTCATTTCCTCTGTGCTGCGCTGACGATTCCACAAAGGACGAAACAGTTCTGTCCGCAGATTGAGTATTTCGCTCCTGCTCTTGTAGCAGTTGAGCACTCTTGCGTGGGGTAGTGCCTTTGCTGTTTGCGTTATGCAGAGCTCACTGACTTGTCAGTTTGAGCACTCTGACAAGGTACGTTCGGATCTGATTGGAAAGTGTTATTTCCATTGCTATCAGGTTCGGCCTCATTTCCTCTGTGCTGCGCTGACGAGTCCACAAAGGACTAAACAGTTCTGTCCGCAGGTTGAGTGTTTCTTCTGCTTAAAAAAGATCAGGATTATGCAAACGAATACAAGCAGCCTCCAGTACTTTCAACTGACTAGCGTACCGTGCACGACAGAGAACAGAAAAACTAAAATCATCATACACCTGCAGACACTTAGGGTGAGACAACAGACGAAGAAAAACGGCAGACTTCTTACGATCATAATCACCATCCGATTCCTCGTCTCCACCAACCGCAACCTCGTCCCCCGTCTCATCTTCCAACTCGTCCTCAGTGTCGTACTCCGTGTCATTCTCCTCATCACCACCGATCGGTCCCAGGCTCGCTTCACTTTGCTGAACCTCTGTTCGTTGACTCCTTCTTTGATCTTGATGGTAATTTGTTACTATTGTTGTTGTTGTCATTGTTGTTGTTCCTGTTGTTGCTAAATCTTCTGTTCCCAGTGTCTTCACCGGTGAGGAATCGGATGGTGATTGTGATCGTAAGAAGTCTGCCGTTTTTCTTCATCTGTTGTCTCACCCTAAGTGTCTGCAGGTGTATGATGATTTTAGTTTTTCTGTTCTTTGTCGTGCACGGTACGCTAGTCAGTTGAAAGTACTTGAGGCTGTTTGTATTCGTTTGCATAAGCCTGATCTTTGTAAGCAGAAGAAACATGTACTTGCGTTAAGATTGTTTTCGTAGGTGCACAGGATGATTGTTTTTCTCACTACACAGTTCTAGCGTTGCAATTCGTTCCTCACCCCTGTTGCACTTAGCTCTCACTTTACTTTTATTGTCTCACCTTCCCTCATTCTATTTTTAGCACTTTGTTTTGTTCTTGTAACATTATTGAATGTATATAAATTATTGATTTGGCTTGGTTATTCTTCAGTCACGGCTTTCCACTGATGATTGTGACAAGAAAATCGATTTTGGTAAACCTTCATGACTTCGTTGTAGTGTGGCGATGACAGCATAACTTGTTCTCTTTATAGCTATTGTAAAATTGTTGTCTCCGCGTCGATTATTTAAGTACAAATTTGAAATTATTATTATTATTATTTGCGTCCCACCCGCCTGTGTGGATTCACAGGAAGTGTGAGTTTCGAAGTCTGAAGAAAACTTTGAACGGTCTCTGCTGGGACGACGACTACACCAAAGCTCAGTGGTTAGAGCATCGTTGGCTACAAGCGAGGGTCGCTGGTTCGAGTCCTGGTGGTGACAGTCAATTTTTTCTTCAGACTTTTCCCGTTTGTCTCTTTCCCTCAAACCAGTTAATATTATTATTTTTATTACACCTTCTAGTGGCTAAAGATGAATCAGTGCCAGTATACATGAGGTACCTGGCGGATAATGCCGGAAGGAAATTGAGCCAATGCTCAGCTCTGTTCCTGGTGACCACACAGCAACTACAA